GTGTGTGTGTTCACTGCTGTGTGTGTGCACTTTGGATGGGATAAATTCAGAGCACTAATTCCTAGTATGGGTAACCATACTTGGCCACGTCACGTCACTTTAGGTGCCGCATACGTGTAAAAAAAAAAAAAAGTCATGACTACTTATTTGTTTCTGCATCCAGTGAACCAGTTTATTGTATGTTTTACATGATAGTGACTCAACTTTCATTTATTTTATGTTCTGACTTTTCTACTCAGTAATTGATGAAAGAAAGAAAGAAAGAAAGAAAGAAAGCCCAAGAAAAAGCAAGCAACAAATAAACAAAACAATATTGGTGAATTCATTAACATTTTTAGCAATAACAACATACTAGGCTGAATGCTGGGCTCATATTAGATATTTACTATAATGTTGGGAGTAAATGTAGTATCTTTTAGTTGTAACACTAGTAATGTAAAATTATTATACAAATATTACTATGACAAATTATTTTATTTAAAATATATATTACTATATTTTATACAAATATACAAAAATAACTGTGATAACCTCAGACTTCCAAGAAAATCTTCATGTTCCACAACCAAAAGTGTTAATACACAAGAAGGAGAGTGAGTTGACAAAACATGTTTGGGTCACTCTGATGTCCCTGTCTGATGTAGATCAGAAAGAAACCGACAGACTGTGGGACGTCCTACCACTGCAGGCGTTTAAATGGAGCTCCCGGATGGACAGCTGCTTGATAGAGTCACATCAAAATCTACTGAAAAGTTTGTCTCAGTGATTGAATCAGTGGAAGATGAATGTGTGGAAACGGATGTGTTTACATAGATGAAGAGACCATCATTCATTGTTACAGGCAAATACAAATTGCCAGTCCTTTGACTGACAGGTTTTTTGTTGTACTGGAGAAGCAGCACATGAGCAAAAGCTTTATTTCCATTCCAAACTCCAAACACGGACAACAGTGCTTGTTCAATATATGAGCACTCTTTTCATGAAACAAATTAAATGTCATTCATGTGAGTGAACACTCTTTCTTCAGTCTCCAGGGACGGTGACAGTGGGGCTCTGCCGTCTAAAACTGACTTACCTTCAAAACAAGAAAGGTATGAATCTCCATACGATTGACCTACAACCTCCAGCCACTTCCTTCCACTCTCCATCTTTCAGATTTTAGGACACTTAGCAGTTTCCAAAACCTTTCCTCTTTCCCTTCTCCATCTCTGTCCTGCTCGCTCTTGTGCTTTTTTGGTACGGATGGTCCAGGTGGGACCTATACTGCATGCTCTCAGGCAGACTATTGGTTCATCCAGGCAGAAAATGGAGGGTTGGAGGGGGAGGACAGGAAATGGAGTGGGAGTTGACTCTCTTCTCACACACTTTAGCCCTGAAGAGCTGCACCTTGGGGACCACCGTCAAGTGGACACTTCATTCCCTCTCTACACAGGAACCCTCTCTGACAGACACAAGCAGGGAAGAACTCGACTTATTGCTGGAGTCTAAGCACAGTTTGGCAAAGAAACACTGCTCGAAGAGAAGACCTCATAGAGCTGCAAGTGCTGTAACATCTAAGAGTTCTTTTGTGAGATCAACAGAGGACTTTTTGCATTTCTAAACTTCTTAGTTAAGTTCCATATACAAAACATCTAAATATGGGCAGAGTTGTTAACTAAAAGTTACTAAAAGCTTTTCTAGTAATAAGAGTCTACTTTTTTTGGATTTCCATCATCCCAAACACTCCTATCAACACTGGAAAGTAAAATTCATTCTAGTAAATCGGTTTGCTATAAATGGCTCTCTCTTTCATATGTAGCACTGGAAAGTTCAATTAATTTTAGAGAATCAGTTCATCATAAACAACTCTCTATGTAGCACTTTAAAGTTCAATTCATTGTACTGAATCGTTTCGTCCTAAATGGCTCGCTCTCATACGTAGTGCTGGAAAGTTTGATTCATTCTACTAAATTGCTTCATCCAAAATGGTCTCTTACATAATAATAACGATAACACTTACAGTCTAATTCATCACTATGTCTTCGACTCCTTTTATATAAATTCCAGATTATTCTAAATTTAATCTGTTTGATGTTGTCACCCTAAAAAATAAACTTTTCTGCCAGAAAACTAACCTCTGGTTAAACTGTAAATTGTATCATTGGATGTTTATGAAGCAAATATTGTTGGGCTTTTCTTTCAAAGGACTGGACTTGCATAGTCTGTTTTGATCTTGAGATCATTCAACAACAAAACTATTTGTTCTTGGCCTTGGTTTCTGCGTTAACATTGGCTTAACGTGATTCACCCACATAAGAATTGTTCTCAGATCAACATCCATGTAAGTGCTGTAAAAACATTCCTATCAACCCATCAGATTTAGGGTTTGGAGGGCTTTAAACAACACTGTTATCAAGCAACCATTTCCTTCCGGTTTTAGAAATAGGTTGGCATTATATTAACGTTAGGCCTCTGATTATTTTAGAGGAATGTTGTTCCAGGACCAAATAGGATGCTGATTAAGTATATACATGTGTAATAATTACGTATTTACATCACAATAATACTTAAAATTTTATATAGATTTAATATTTAATACTTAAAATAAATCTTAAATTTAGGCCAAAATATTTTTTTAAGAGTAGTTTAGTTGAATGGATCAGGTCTTGGAAAAAACTTTAAGTACAAGAATAGAATGCTGCTAGCAGTGAGGGGCCTATAGGGAACCTAGGATCACACTTGGCTCATACTATTAATAGACAATTTTTGTCTAAATGACCATGGAATCATGTTGTTTCCACTACAGGAAGTCTAATATGGAGTATCCAAGAGCTCAAAAAGGCGAATGCATGGAAAAAGCTTTTAGTCTTCTCTCGAGGGGGTCTGGGGACTGTAATTCCCGCACGTATGTAGTCTAGAGACTGTAGACCACTTTCTTGTGGATTTCATTTAGTAAGGGAATGTTAAGGATGTTGTATATGGTATTACTATGGTAATTTTTGAAGTACCTTGGACTGCTATATATGTACCATAATCATTCAGTACTATGGTATAGTACTACTCATATGTATTGCATATTTTATAGGCATTACCATGAAGTTAAAGGTCTCCAAAATGTCAGCCAGAAAGCATTAAATGCATTGATCTGAAGCAAAATCTACCAACTGAACTGGCAATGCACTCAAGCACATTTAACAGATCTGCTACATGTCTACATCTATATATATATATTTGTCAATGCCTAAATCTACATCACTGTTGTTTAGTTTCATTATGCGCTCCGTGTCAAGGCGATGCTCACTAAACGCTGAAGACCAGCACAGCAGCGTCAAGTCTGATGGTGAAACAGTACGAGCAGCGAATTTCTGAGTGAAGTTACAAACACAATCCGGACAGCTGTGTGGAGTTCCAGAGGAACGGCTGTGGGAAGAGTATGTGCGTCTGCTTGGCTTGTTTTCCAGGCCAGTGCCACAGAGAGAGTGAGAGCTCTTTAAAGTATGCATTTCCCCATCCCACTGAGAGCAGCGTATTCCTCCCCATCACTTCCACTTCATTACTCCCTCACCAGCCATGTATTAT